GTAATGGGCTACAGCTGCAGTAATACATGCTCTATTCTCAGTCCAGAGGTTTCTAAGCAAAATTAAATTAGCTCCTGTTACCACACTGTTGCATCATATGCTCCTCACCTCCTGAGTGTAGATTTCTCTATCCATTTCCATACTGCAAGCAATGTTTGTGCCCCACACAGAAAAATCCCCCACTGGGGTCAAGAAATTCTGAGCACATTAACTGCTTTTACATGTTGAAGATCTCCCTCCTCTACTGCCTTTGGTACAGTTTGCAAGTCCAGTTTGCATCGAAGCTGGACCTGGGCAAATTTTTACCCCTAAAGTATTTGCAATACATTTTACTTGTTAATGAAATTATGTCCACTTTACTGGAAGCACATCAGCAGCCCCCAGCTGCCTTTAGATCTTTAATACCCTTTTTTCTCCACAAATTCAAAAGGCTCTTTGTAACAGTAAGGAAAATGCTGCATTATCCTGGAGGGGATGAGGGGAGGGACAAAAAGGAAATAGATCCCATGGTATTGGAGTGATTAATGTGACTGTTTATGATGAAGGAAATGAAAACTAGAAATCTGGGTAAGTAATGGTCTTTCCAAGTGAATAACTTCCACTGGAACCGCAATACAAACTCATATGCTGATCTCCTTTAAATTACTGCTTAAGTTTCCAAAGCAAAGCAGGGATGACACTGAAAATTTTTCTCCCTTGTGGATTCCCAGGAGCACAGATTTTCCAGCAATAGCAGGAGAGCGGTTCATTGCGAGATGCACACATGCCATCACCTCTCTTTAAAATGTGAGATGCTTTGGTGATAGGTTTGAGTGGAAGGGCTTCAGAGGCATGTGTAGCACTGTCCATCAAGCCTGGTGAGCTGGAGCAAGGCTTCCCCTGCATACATCATCCCCCACACTGACATGCAGGCCGAGTGTGCTCAGTGGGAAGAACAGGACCAAAGTATTTTTCATGAAGATATGAGCCTAATATTGCAGATTTGGAAAGATCAGTTATCCACCTGCCAGCCATCTCTATCTCTGGCAATGGTACTTCCCTGGCCTCAGTTATTACAGTACATAACTGCTTCACAAGCAATAATATATTTATCTTCTCATCCTCCCTATGGAGTCGAAAAGTGCCATTACCTCTGTTGCAGAACTAAGAGCTGAGATTAAGGGTCAGATTTGTTGTAGCATTTAGGTGCTCAGTGAGATTTTCAAGAGTACTTAATACCCATTGTAATAATTGGAACCTGGGAACTTTGATAGTTCTGAAAACCCTGTTACTTGTGTCTTTTCATTTAAAAGTTTGGACTTTAGTGACACCCCAGAATCCATAGGAGTGATTCCTATGTTGTGAGTAGTCACCCAGACAGTAGAATGTCTGTTCATCCATCTACTTGGAGACTGTAGGTGGGACATGAGAAATTTTATGGCAGTAGCTTATCTCAGTCCTGAATTCCACAACCTGTAACAAGCTGTGGATAGCAGTGCCCAGATCTGTGAGAGAGGTCAAAATCCAGTCCTGCAAATACTGAAGCAAAAATAAGCAGCACCCATGGTCAATAAAAAGGGCTTATGTGCCAATTGCTGGGATGGAAAATTCAAGAGCAGGAGCAAATAATGAAACAATCTATATTCATGCAGCCACCTTTCCAGCCTACTGCTCTAAGTATGGGCTTACACCTAACTGGGAGATGGGAATCCTACTAAAAGCTCCAGAGGATCACACTGGAAAACAAATGTTGATTTTGAACAAATTATCTGTTCATCGCTAAATCATTTTCTTTCATTATTAGTCTCCAAATTGGTTCTGCTCTGGAAGGCAGAATTAGGCTTAAAAGCAAAGTGTGTCTTAAACACTTGCTTCAAATGAAAGTATTCAGTAAACATCACTCAAAGCCCCAGAGCATAACCTCCTCAACTGCTTTCTCTGGCTTTGCATAGATTTTGAAGCTCCTGGTTTGGGGACAGGTGTTTCAGAGATTCATTTGGGATATCAGAAAATAATCAAATTAAATTCCTTACAATCATATGCCCCTCAAATGCCAAGGAAACACATTTTTAAGACCTTTCTATCCTCCTTTACAGTAGCATAAATTGGCACAAAAGTCCCATGCAAACAGATGGACTTACACCAGTATCAAACATGGAGGAGAGAGAAGAGTCAGGCTCCAAACAAGTAGGCATGTGGGCTGCAGCCCAAATTTTTCATTATTTTAAGAGCTGCACTTTGCTGTTACAGTACTTGCACTCACTTCCGTAGTTTTATGGTTCTAAAAAATTCCTTGAGCTTCAAAATTGTATTTTTAGTATTAAAGGCTTGTGCTTGGGCTGATTCAGTATGTCAGCAAGATTGCAGCTGTCTGAGCTAGAGATTTAAGATGATGGAGTAGGGGTCAGCTCAGCAAGGTGGGTGATGGAGCAGCAGCAAAGACCCAGAGTTGTTGTGTATTTGTCCCATGTGAGGAGGGGCTTGAGAGGGTCCTTTGTGCCTCCATGAGCCAAGAAGCCCTGCACGGATTAGAATGTGTCTAAAATCAGTGGGCTTTCATCAGTGCTGTTATTCTGCCTGTGGGTTTTCATCGTGTGGAGGAGGGAGAAGGACTCTGTCACTTTGTTAGATGTGACAAGAGGATAAAACTTTGGGACGATGTTATCTCGTACACTCCATATCTTTGGTGGCTTATTCAAAGAACACGTTTAACTCAGTTTGATGTTTGTGGGATCTGTGTACATAAGGAAAGAGAGGCAAGAAGGTCCTCTATTGATCCTCCCCCACCATGGGAAGACATTCACCCATTTCCAGTAAAGGTGTAGGACTGGGAGGCTGTTCCAGTACAAGCAGGACTTGAGTGCTGCTGATGCTGCTGCTGCTGCTGCTGCAAAGGAACATGTTTTTACTGTCTGGCCTGAACACTGTTTTGCACTCACAAGATTTATTTCTCAGTTGGAAGAAGAGCTACAAGATTAACACATGAACAAATACTTTGAGACAGCCAGGACATCAAAGAAATTGGAAAGTCACTAAAATGTTGGAGAGCTGAAGAGTCACCTGGCCGTGTTCTTAGGAATAAGAACATCTTATCCTCAGATTAGCTCGGCTGTCTTGGGGTTTGGACACATCCTCTGGTGAATTTAGCTACAGTGACTCAAGACATAACTGGCCCCAGCTCTCTGCTGCTCCTCCTGAGGATCCTGCTGTGGAGCAGAGGTGGCAGGAGGGAATATGTGCCTGCCTCCCAGCCACTGCAGCACAGATCTGGGGGCTTAGTGCAAGCAGATGGTCCTTCATTTTTCAGGGTAAACACCAGTCTATGAGGTGTCTCTCTGTTAAGGGTGAGAGCATACTGTGTTCCTGGGCAGAAATCTCCAGGGAAAATGTGGGTCAGACAGTGTGTTAAGCCACCCTAACAAAAGCCACCAGAATTCATGTGTCAGAGCCCTACAGCTGCACTCTGTGACCTTTTACCATGAGGAAATTCTAACTGATATTGGAAAGGCAGCTATTGCAATTGGGAGGTCAGGGGGAAACGTATCACAGGTGGCACTATTTAATGGCAATCATTCTTTGCAAGCTTTTTCTCTTCCATGCAATCTGCAATTCAAAGAGGTGGGGAAAAAAGTAACAACAGTTTTAACCTTGGGTTCCTCATACAGGAACTAGGCAAGGGGTGATACCAGTGGAAGGTTTATGTAAAATGTAGCTTCCTTGCAGAGAACAAAAAGCAGCTGAGCAGAGGCTGATAACCATGAGACCACGCTCGTTCCTTAAGCTGTATATGCCTCAGTTGTTCCCTCAAATTTAGATTTAGTTAAATCAGACAGGAAATCATGCAGGAGTTTGGGGGTCTTGAGGAAAGGTGTTCAAAAAGCAGCAATATGAAAACAACAAAAAGAGGGAAAGTCATAACTTGAGAAGTGCCACACAGAGAGAGCTGTGTGCCTTTGCTTTATTGAGCTGCTGGCTGCAATAAATACAGCTGAATTCCCTCAGTCTCCCGTAATGTTGTCTCAGTACCAGCAGGAGTCCGTTTAAGAATACACTTACTTGCACAAGTTATTATATATAGGAAGAGCAGAGAAACAGCTGATTCAAGCAAACCCTGAGAGCTGCCCTAGTGAACTGGAGGTGGTGGTCAGTGCTGACAGCCCAAAGCAGGCAAAGCAGAGGAGCTTCTGTTCCTGCTTCACCTGAGGGGATCACAGTCTGTGATGGTACAGTAAATAAATGGTGATAAAATCAACTAAGAGGCTATTCCCAAAGAGGGAGAATTGTTTTTTTATTATTTTCAATACAGAAAGTAATGAGACTGTATTACAAAGAAGAGAAGAGACAGGTATAAAGCAAGACCTAACAATGGATAATCAACAAGGAAGACTGAACCTTGTACTTCTGCATCTTACAGCATTAACCCCAATTGCCTGGAGTAAAAGGCTTGGCTGTGTTACAGTGCTCTAACAGGGTTGTCAGATCCCTGTGCAGTGTATCCACGGCTAGGAGGAGCTGAAGCACTGCAGAGCACATGGTCATGAGCCTAGGACTAGAGACCACAAAGTTTGGGGTCTTCAGCCTGGTTGTTTTCATCTATTTCCCTGTGTCTTTAAACCCTTTCAAATCTCACATTACAGGAAGTTAGGAGAACTAATTTATTCCTTCTTGAACAGTTGTTTGAGGAAGAGAAGCACTTGCACTCTCTGTGTAGACAGCTGCAGATTTTTAGTTAGAAATCTCCAGCAGAAATAAGAGCAAGCTGGTCATGGGGGCAGCTTTATTGCACCTTGTGTCTTGACCCAGCAGAGAAAAGCTGACATAAAACATTAGTAGGTCAGATTTGTGCTGTGTTTTACCTCACTGTGCATGAATTCTTTCCTCTGACTAAAGCAGGCATGGGTCTGACCATCAGTAGGTCCTGAGGTGCAATGCAGGGCAGCAGTCGGGTTCTGCCAGGCAGCAGCCTGAGACTGAGCACGAATGTCCAACCCACCGGGCTCTGTAACCCCTCTGTGTTCCAGGCTGGAGTCTCCCACACGCGCGCTGGTGATGGAGGCTCCGAAAGGCATCGAGATCAACGCCGAGGCCGGCAGCTTGAAAGCCACGTGCAGGACAGAGCTCAGGCTGGAATCCAAAGATGGAGAGGTAAGCAAAGCACATCCCGCCCTGCAGCAAAACCAGGCCAAGCCACAGATCTCCTGCGTGTCTGTAGCCTCCAAGGTTACCAAGCCGCTGTGTTTGAAGTGCAGGTGTGAAGGCTCAGGTGCAGCAGGCTTTCCTAACTTCATTTCTGCTGTGATTGAACACATCACATGCAAATGAGACTCACTCTGTGGCAAGGGCTGATTCATTATTTTTAAAGTGCGTGGATAATAGCATCTGTTGTTCCAGCAGATTTATGCAGCTGTAAAATACACAGTGCTCCTAAATTCTTTGTTTCCTTGTCACTTTAAAATGAGATTTACTTTGCCAACGTAATTAAATCTTTTATCATACATTTTTCTATAAGAAGAGCTTAATTCACCAGTATTGATCTGAAAAGCTTTTGTAGTAGATGTTTCATTTTGGAAAGAAAGGACACATTAGGAAACACAGGTTGTTACATTGGGGAAAATTCCAAAGGGGAAATGTTCACCTCATGTTGTTTTATATGGAGAAATTCAGATCTGTTGCAGCATTTCAGTTATTTTTAACACACACAAAAGTGTTAGACATACATAAATGTAAAGTATACATAGAAGTCAGTGCTGTGAACCTGCAAGCATAACTGGCAATGGGATCACAGTGACAGAACTCCTGGTGGAGGAGCAGGGGTCGTTGGAGGTGAACCATACACACCCACCACCTTGCAGTGGGGATTACCCCAACCTCGGGCTGGGGAACCCAAATGTGGAGGTGCCCTGGGAAGCCACAAGCCAAGGACACACAGTGGGTAGATTAGCAGAAACAAACTGGAGGTTGCAGGTGACTCATGGTAAAGGCAGATAATGTGCTTACTCAGTTTTATATCAGACTTCCCCATCTTAATACACTTGCCTACCCATTTTTTGTAGCAGCTGAGTTGACTGAAGGAAGCTTCTTTAAACACAGCATCAAAAATAACAGCTCTCTGCTAATTCTCTCTCTTTTTTTCTCTCTCTCTCCCCCCCCCACCTCCGGCTTCAGATAACGTTGAATTCTGCAAAAATCAAACTACCTAACTTGCCTCAAGGATCTTCCTCTTCTGCAGGGTCCAGGCAAAAAATCTACGAGCTCTGTGTGTGTCCCAATGGGAGGTTATTCCTGTCTCAGGCAGGCAGTAGCTCGACCTGCCAGATAAATACAAGCGTCTGCCTTTGAGAGACAATTTGCAGTGGGGCATCGCAGGCAGCACAAAAGCCAGTTCTGGTCTCACAGATCTCAGCTGCCAACTATTTTTACTAGAACACAGAAAGCCTATCAAAGACTTTTTTTGTGTGTGCGCGCGCGTGTGTGTGAATATATATATAAAAATATATATATAAAATATATATATATATCCTCTGTGTAAAATGATGTTTCAGTACAAGGAATCCCAGGGTGACCCTGTTACATTTGTGTAGCATTTCTCTTTCCCCCACCAAAATTTACTGGTACAATCTGCCGAATTGGATCTGATGCTCCCCTGGACCCTTCTGTAGTAATGCAGTGTCATGATCACCCCTCGTTTTTGATCATGTTCTCAGAGCAATGGGATTGCTGGCTGGTCAAGACCCTGGAACCCATGTAGACCCACCAACATACGAGGGAAGAGAAGCATCTCTGATTATTTTTGCACCATTAAATCAGTGGCATGGAAAAAAAAATAAATTAAAAACCAAACAACGAAATAGCCAGATGTGCTGTACTGATCACCTGCAGTCATCCAAGATATCTGAGGTTAAATTACACTCATTAATTATCACCCAAAGCATGGCTTCCTGTTGGTAGAGGTGGATGCACTTGGCCAGTAGGAAAGTCCAGATCTTGCTGGAATAATCCATGTGATTTTCTGAAGAGGTTCAACACTTGCCTGTGCATGGCCAAGGATGTCTTGTGCTACTCAGATGGCACGCATCAGCTCAAACACTGACCTAAAGTTCATCCTTGTGCTAACAAAACTGCTGTTATATTTAGTTACTGGAAGAAAAAAAATTGTGAAAGTTGGACTACATAGAAAAATCCTGAACCTCCTCATTTAACAGGTGTCCTGGATGACCCTACACACGCTCCATTAGCACCTTCAATTCTGAACACATCTGGCGCAAAGGTGTGAAGATTTAAGATTTGGACAGTGCCTAAATACCTATAGAAATAGAAAAAGTTACCTATCCTGCCCTTAGAAACTGAGAAAATTATACAAATTAGGTGTATAATGTAGATGCTATGCCAGAATTTTTTCCATCTTTCTTTTCGGGATACACAGTCCAAGGCCACTTAGATTTGGTGGAGACTGCAAATATCAGAGATGTTGACAATGAAACAGACTTCTTTAAAGAATTTATAAAGATTTTGATAAAGCCAGATGACTAGAAATCAAGGGCTCTGGATGCTGTTTCCTCTAGAATTTGAACCCCAAAACTGTGAATATTTCCGTGTTTGCATTTTTCCATATTTTAAAGTCTAGGAGTCACTTACAGGCAGGATAAAACATGAAATTTGAACTGGTAACGTTCTTTCCACTGTTCAAATTTCAGAAAATAATAAGAGCCCAGATCATTGAATTCTGACCCATAATTGCATCGACAAGCATGTAAAAATCTTTGAAAAACAAATATACTAATTATGGCAAGGAGTTTCCAAGTCGCAGTAAATCTCACGAGGACAGCTAGGTTTCTAAGACACTGAGATGCTTTTGAAATATTACCTCATGTGCAAATAAGACAGATCTGTGTCCATCCCTAGTGATATCTAACCAAAGCTGGTGTTCTTCAAGCGATCTTCAGCATAAAATGCAGCTGACAGAAATCTTCAGAATTAATTTAGCCCATTCCTTTTTTACAGCTTTTCACGTATTTTCTTGTGGTCTGGAGAGTACCAGGGTTTTATTTATTTATTATTTTTTAAAGAACAATTCTGGCTTAATCCAAAACTGATTGGACCCAAAGAGAAGATTTCTATGGAGTTTAGATTAGATATGTTGCTGCCTAAGAAAGCAGCACTCCCATAAAATTTACTCCCAATAGAGGATTGAATAATTTACTTTTATTTTAGTAACGCTTCCCAGTGAATTAATGAATTCAAACTATTTGTTAATGAATGATTCCTGTAATTATTTTGTCTTGAGTCAACATTTGAATGCAAAGGGTCACCCAGGATAACAATTGTATTGGGACACAGGACTATACCATCTCTGTTCAAAGAGGGGAATTGTGCCTATGCCTTAAGTCAATGCACTCAGCAAGGAGAAGCACATCATATTTATCTTGTTATTAAAACTAGTTTATTTGGGGGGGAGGGACAGGAGGGTGTCTTGGGAACTGGTTGTGCAACTTAAAACAGATATTGATGAAATACATTAAGATTGTAGGGGCACCTAGAACGATACAGACTTTTTTTTTTTTTTTTTTTTTACCATGTTAAATATAGCAAAATACTGTGTATGTTACCTCTGGGACCATGACTGAAGTCCCATTCATAGTCCTACATTTACTGTAGAATATTTTTCCCTGTTTCATTCATTACTGGTCACAAACCTCATGGCAAGCATGGCCCAATTCATAAACAAATCCTTTGTAAGCAGTTGTGAAGGCATGTGCTGCAGGAAGAGTTCCCTGTCCAGAAAAAAAGTGGCATTAACTTTCCCATCCCTGAAGGTGTTGATGCTGGTGAGGAAGGCAGGGCTGAGCACAGGGACTGACCCAGCAGGGATGCTGCATCCTGATTTCTGTGCTCCATTCCAGAGGCACTGCTGGCTCAGTCCTCATCTCCATGCACCCCTTGGCTGCTCTGATGAGGATTTCCATCCCAACAAATTAATTTTGAGTGACTGGTTTTCTCAGCTGGGGCTGTTGGATGAGGTTATCACTTTCTTGTATCACAAAGGACATGAGGCTGCTAAGGACACTCAGCCATCTATTGTGGTATGAATTTCTGCTGGGGAGTTGTTAGGAAAAAACCTGAACATCGATGCCATCACTGCAGATGCTTCTCTGAGGTGAACAAAGGGTACCTTAATTATGTCTACTCAAAGGAATTCCAGTTGTCTCAATATATTTTAAAATCATGTTTCCATCTTAAAAAACGTAAGATTATATTTTGCATTGAAAGATGAGGAGTTGTTGATAGAAAGATTGAACCCCTGTAGAGACTTGTAGATCATTTGAACCCTCATTGAATTAGTGAATCATTTGAGTTTTAAGACTGTGGTTTGGGTGATGCTGCCTGTGCTTGGGTTGGCCACATGATTAGTCCCTACTGTTCAGTGAGTGGCAAACTCAAATACAGGTTGGGCAGAGGATGCATCAAGAGCAGCCCTGAGGAGAAGGACTTGGGTTCTTGGTTGACAAGAAGCTCAACATGACCTGCAATGTGCAGTCACAGCCCAGAAAGCCAACTGTGTCCTGGGCTGCATCAAAAGGAGTTAGACCAGCAGGTCAATGGAGGGGATTCTCAGCTCTTGTTTGAGCCCACCTGGAGTGCTGTGCCCAGCTCTGGGCCCCCAACATGAGAAGGACATGGACCTACTGGAGAGAGTCCAGAGGAGGCTGTAAAGATGCTCAGAGGGCTGAAGCATCTCTGCTGAGGAGACAGGCTGAGAGATCTGAGGGTGTTCAGCCTGGAGAAGATCTTGGAGCTCTTTTCAGTGTCTAAAGGGTCTACAAGAGAGCTGGAGAGGGACTTTTTAAAGGGCAGGGAGTAATAGGACAAGGAGGCTTCAAACTGACAGAGGACAGGTTTAGATTAAATGTCAGGAAGGAATTTTTTATTGTGAGAGTGCGGAAGCCCTGGCACAGGTTGCCCAGATAAGCTGTGGATGCCCCATTCCTGGAAGTGTCCAAGGCCAGGTTGGATGGGTCTTGCAGCAACTGGTCTAGTGGAAAGTGTCCCTGCCCATGGCAGGGGCTTGGAATGAGACGATCTTTAAGGTCCTTTCCAGTCCAAACCATTCTGTGACTCTGTGGAACCAGAGCAAACAGGACTATGTGTCTCAGATCCCAGGGGAAAAAACAAGCATTTTGTTTAAAAAGCAGCACTTAAACACATCCAGCTATCTCACACTCCACAGTTTGTTGTTGAGGGCTGTTGTGGAGTGACTGACTCACCTGCTGGACAAGGCAAATGCACGAGAGTCCCTTTTCCTCCTGCCTTGCCCAGAAATCCCTCACAGTTGCTGTACCTGTGTGGTTTGGTTTTTCCCTGAATCCATTTAAATCAGAGCTTCCCTGGCTGGAATTTAATCCGTATGCTCTACCTACCACTGATAAGATGCCAAAACCAAACAAGGGTTTGTTGTTTCATTGTGAATGAGGCCTGCAGTTTAGTTCAATTGAGCATTTGCTATTCGGGAAAGGGGTTTGTCTCAAAATTTGTTTAATTTTACTTCTCAATGCTAAAGCAAGGCTGGATGTGAATTTGTTTCTGCTGAGATCAGGGGAAGAGATGTCAATGACTTCATGGCCTGAGCTGGGACAGGAGCTGGGTAGGTGACAACTGAGGGCACTGAGGGCAGTGGGAACACTGCCAGCCCTTGGGGCTGCTGCAGGTTCAAACCAAAGCCTGCATTGCAGCTGTGAGCACTAAAACCCCATCGAAATGCTAATCAGGGGACTGTGACACTAATGTCAATGTACCTTAGGCAACCATGCAGTATTCATAAATGCATTTATGTATTGTAGCTCTTAAATTCATAGGACTTCAGGACCTTGTCCAATTTGCTGTAAATGTGACACTTTATGTAAAGGGTCAGAAGAATGACAGTGAGTACTGACCCATGACTGGTACCTTATCCATATGTAGTGTGTGACCATTCTGCTGTCATAGCTGAGTTAGGATGGTTCTTCTAAAGCAAAAAGACTTGCTATTAGCAAAAGCAGAGGTCCTAATAATGACAATACATCTGTGTCCATTCTCCAAGTTTCTTTGTGGGTTTTTTAATGGTTGTTGGTTTGTTTGGGTGTTTTATGCTTTTTGAGGTGTGTTACCCAGTAGTCAGTGAAATGGGTGGCTAAAGAGTACAAAGAACTGTTAATAGTAAAGGAAGTCATCAAAAGGGGAAGCCAGTAACTACCACAATATGTGTAAGGCCTCTCCTAAGTATTCATTTTTAGAAAACTACGTATGTGGAAGAGTGATTTGTATTTGGTTATCTAAGTCATGTGCTGTCAAACAGCTGCATTTTAAGAGGGTTCCTTTTTCTCCTTTTTTAAATTGCACAAACAAAAAAGTTGAGGGCATAAGACTAAAAATACCATCTGCAATATACAATATGGCAAAATGATGGTGAAATAGAATACCCTCCCTAGAAATTGCTCCAAGGTTAAAGAGAGATTCCAGTGGGACTTGGGGAGATGTCAGGTTAGTTCACATCATACTTAATTTGCAAATACAAATGCTTTTAATGAAAGTTAGCTTTTGTAGGCATAAGATGGAGGCACATGTGCACACAAATACACACACACTCATATACACTTGTTTACAACAAAAGCCAATTTTCTTTATATATGTTGGCTTTAAGTTTTCATATTGCAAAAGAGAGTAAACAAAGACCAAAGATTTCAAGAAATCCATTCCTCTCTGGTTACCCTCACACCTGAAATGCATTAACTTTAATGGTGCTTTTTTTTTGAACTGGGCAGGAGAAATACAGGTGTATCATAAAGCTACATTTGAGAGAGTAAAGTGGCAGGAAGGCTCTAACTTGGTTAATGGGGAGAGGAGGAAATAATGTGAAAAATCTTGAAATGTGTGCAGAGGACAAGGTTATCTGAAATTTGAAATGTGAAGAAATAGCCCAGAACCAAAAGACATCATCCTGGGCTGAAAGTATAAATAAACTGAGTAAATGGTGCTGGCTGTTCACTTACCTCCACTTGAGCATTAGCAGATCAGGAGCTCCAGTGGCTGCTCAGTGAAGAAGAGTAGAAGAGTAACTGCTGTAATGATTTCATTTTAGAAGTACATACAGTAAAAACAAAATTAAAAAAAAAGTCAGAGGCTGTAGTCTTTTTTTATGGCTGACATTTTAAATTTTGAAATGTCATCATCCAGAATTCAACCCCAGCAAGTACAGGGTGTGTTCCTGCCAAGCTTTGCCAAGCCCTGCTTTGGTGCTTTTTGAACGTGAAAATACCAGCCTTTTTATTGCCCTGGCTGTAGAGGAGCATGATCCTGGCAAGAGTTGCCTTTTAACCTTTTTCCCTCAGTTCTGAAATTGCTGTGTAATGTTTGGGTAGCTGGTGTCCTGCTGCATCTGCATCTGTGTGCAGTGACCAGCCCCCAAATCCGCATCGTGTCACATCTCAGTCCCACAGAACCCCACAACCTGTGTGTAGCAGTGGCACTGTGGTGAAATTCGGGACTTTCAGGTCAATTCTGTGTGGCACTTGCTGTTTTCACAGCTCAAGTAGCCAAGTTTATGACTGTGAGTGGAGCAAGGTTAAAAACACTGATGTGGTGCTGATGTTATTCAACTAAGAGTGGGGTAAATTAAACAAGGTAGGAGTGAAAGGGAAGAAATGGTGAGACATCACCCTAATCACAGTAATGCAGCCAACTTCTCTGTCTCTTTGCACTATTATACTTTAAATTAATAACATCCACTTTACTAAATACAGTAGCGATTATGCTTGAGCTTTCATGGTGCACAGTGGAATTACTGTCACTGAAACCACTTACAGCTTGGGCTGTTCAAGATTGCTGGGGTGTTGTTTCTGTCCGCAATAACCACAGTGGCTTGGGGCTTGGATGGAAATTAATGTAAATAGCTTGTATTTAGAAAGCTTTTAAGTCTGCTGTGGTTGAGAAGCCCTCAGTTATGCACATACAGCCCTGAGGGTTTATCATTTCATCCTCTCCTGTCCTGCCACTTGAATTGTATTGTGCCCTTGTGAAAAGCAACACACTGTATAAAGAATACTGGAAAAGCTGCAGGATTTTTATCCAAAATGAGAAGAAAATATAATCTTGGTGCACCACTGAGATTTCCCATCCAAGTCACTTTAAGCTAGAGGTGCAAGTCCCTTAAAAATTAATTTGCTGCAAGTGTAATTCCTGTGGGAAAGTTAGCACTGGTGTCGCTCCCAGGGAATGTCTCACCTTATTGCAGCTGGAAGCCAGGGGATGGCTGGGATTTTCTGCCACCATTCAGTAGGGATGGGCTGCCTGTTCAGAGGAAGCCAGATTTCTGTTGAGGCAAATCCTCTCCATTGATTGAGCTTTTGTTAGCTTTTAAGTGGTATCAATACATAGGAAGGATACGTCCACTGTGATGCGACATGTAGTTGTATGTTTGCCTCACATTTAGTTGGTTAAAACTTCCTGCCAGGGAGATAAAATATCAGAAGGAGAAATTTGTGTCAAAATGTTGCATTTACATTGTGCTACCAAATGCTTCAAATAAAAACATGCCACTTTAGTTAAACAGTCTTTTCTTCTGAGATTAAAAAGGACTCCTTGGAGTCTCTCATCAGGTCCTACCCAAATGGAAAGTCTTACCATTTCTAACATATTTGCCATTATAGGAACAATTCCATTGCAAAGCACAGGCCATGTGCATCTTTTCATGTAACAGGAATTTTAAATTGCATTGTACTCTCACATTTTTTCCCCATTCAAAGGCTTAAATGCCAATAGGAGATAAAGCACTCCGAAACCTGCTACTGCTAAATGCATTATCGCTTTCTAAAGCAATGTAGTTTCCTTGGTCTTTTAAAAATTTCCTCATAATGGAGTCCTTGAAATATCTTGAGGCAGGCTCACGCTGGAGAGCAAAAGAATAATTATTTGTGGGTGGTGCTATTTTTGTTGAAGCTTGGATTGAAAAAAATGTTGCTATCAGAGTTTCTCCCACACTTACTTACTGCAAACACCACCATCCCCCAACACCATGGCTAGATCTCTCTAGGGTGGCTGCCTTAGAGCAGGGAGTTACCTCCTACACTAAACCACAGCCTGATAATTTTGTCTTCATCTAGGTCTTCCTCTGGGCTTGTGCACTTGATTTTAGTGCTGTCATGGACGTAACAGATAATAAAACACTTCGTCAGTTTTAGTGATTTTAGAGATGATACAAATGATGTGTGTCTGCAGTCTGAGGGGTATAAATAACACTGGTATTTGTTGGGTGCTGTTCTAACAAGCCTTTGGCCACCTTGAGAGCAGTAACTCCTGAAGGTGCAGCCAAGTAGCTCTTAAAACCACCTCTGCTTTGTCCCTTAATACCTGTACAGCATCCAAGGGGATGCCATGGGGATGGTTCCCAGTACTCTGCCTTCACTCAGAAAGCCTGCAAGGTGGGGGAGTCTCCTGCGTGGCTTTGCCCTTTCACTTCTGTCTCATCCCTTTGGCAGCTCCTCTGTGCTAGAAATGGCAGCAAGGCATGATGCCTGCCTTGGGGGGACTGGTCTGGAGCAGTGTGACAGGGCCATTCACAGCATGGCAGTTTGGCTCTGCAGATGGTGTAAACCAGGGTTTGGCTCCATTTGACTCCCTGGTAGCCTACACTGCCCAAGGGTTGGACCTAAGGGTTTAGCACCTTTTGAGAGATCATAAAAAAGAGTATGGCTGCTCTGCCTAACCTACTGCCTGGGTGCTCCTGGTGGCAGCGTGGGACACAGGTGCCTCTGGGATTTCCTTATCTCATGGGTGCAGATAAAGAGCTGTGGGAAATCTTGCCACCACTGCCAGCTCAAGATGCTGGCTGACAATGGAGGCATGGTCACCCAGCTTCCTTCCAGCCACCACTATGAACCATGCAGGGTTTCAGCTGGTGATTTGCTGGATCATGTGTGAAGCAGAAGGTCTCTCTGGGCAAGCACTGAGGGTCTGCCGGTCCTGCTGGCAATAGGGAAAGGTTGCAGTGGTTGCAGAGTGGCTTCCACAGGGCAGGAGCTGCTGGAGAAATTCACTTTCTTGTCCCTTTTCGTGGGTTGTCAGAGCAAGGACAGAAGTTAGGATGAACAAATCCTGCCCTTGCTCAGCCAAGTAAGAAACCTCATAAAGGGCAGATCTGAGCAGTTATTGTCCCCTGTGTTTATTGGAGATGGGCTAAGTTGACAGCATTCACACCTGGATTCTTCTCTAGGTCAGAGCTTTTCCTGAGCTGTGACCCAGGTCTTGGTCTGGATCTTCACTGTGCAGTAGTTTGGGAGCAGGGAAGGGATTGACGTGCTGGATCTGATTCAGATCCATTTAGGTTTTGATTTAGGGCTTCCTTTTTTTTGCCCACTCCTTGTTTGAATTAGTTTCCTTGTGAGCAAATGCCAATAGAGTTTTCAATATTCATCCAAAAAATGCTTCATGTAGGTAGAGCCAACAGAGGAACAACATTCAGTGTGAGTTGAAGCCAACCCCTGTTCATCTACTGCAGTAGCATAAAAGGCATGACCCATAAGCTATAGCAGTTTTCATCCGTGATGGTAAAACACTTTGTCTGACCTCTACTCTGAAAACCACCAATGACCTTGATCATGTAAACAGGACAAAATGAATTTAAAGTCTTATCACAGTTCTCATTAAGAAATCTGGATTTGTTTGGCTTTTTTCTTTTTAATTTATGTATGTGTGTGATTGTGTGGGAAAATATAAAGCTGTTTTGTATCAAATAACATCAATCCTTGCACACTCTATGCAAAATTTTGTAAGCATTGCAATAATGCTATGAATTACACAAGGAACTATTTTAACTTTATTACACTTTCTGTATAAAAAAAAAAGTTTGTATTTAAATGATTTCAACTGCAATCTTGTAAAATATATTAATAAAATAATGATTGTTAAGAAGGAAAGAGATGTTGAGGGGTTTTTTGTTTGTTTGTTTGAGTGTGGCAGACATGAGTTAGACCTCAGACTTCCATGTGTCTGTAGGATATGGATAGGATCTGTTCTGTATATCTGTAGGATACACCAGACTGGATCACAATAGCAATCCATTTCACAGGATCAGGTAACTGGATATTCATGCCAGAAATGCTTTAGTGGATGGAATGAGAATCTCTCTGAATGGCTGTCTGAGGAAAACCTGTCAACAACAGAACAAAAGATCTTGCCTTTGGGGGAAGTTGAGTCTTGCTTAGTTTTGTAGAAATTGTCCTGGCATTAGAGACTCACAGCCCAGATGCTGCAGGCTCTGAGGTCCTACCTGAGCATCATAAACCTCTCAAAGAGCATCATTTTCTGGTGGAAGGGATCTGGTGCTGCTTGTGCCCCAAACCAGCAGGAACTCAAGGTTTTCCAGCCTAGAAGGCACCAGAGTGCAGTGCACCCACCTGGGAACGAGCCCCCACCTGTACACGGAGTCGGGAGCAGGAGCTCAAGTCTGCCTGCAAAAAAATAATAATCAAATTAAAAATAATAATTTACAAAAAAATCTAGTGGTCTGGGCAAACTCTCGGAAAGCCTCTTGGAAAACCTCTGGCTGCTTTAACGATCCATCAGTTTTATTTTAATTGGCCAACTAATCAGCTGCTCATGGGTGACTCTGCACATGCCAGGCCATCGCTTCTGAGGGCATTTTGCAGGAACTGGGTTTAAAATCTGAATTTGTTCACCCTGGATTTTGTCAGTAAATGAGAGCATTGATTGAGGCTCATTATCTGAACAAATAGCAAGAATTCAATCCTGCTGAAAAGATGTGCATGCCTTCCGAGCACACAGAGAGAACGAGCCCAGTCCTTGCTGCTGGGACACGGCCAGAATCCAGGCTGTAGGAATACTTGTTTACCAGTTTGCAGGGCCTACAAATAAGTTCCCTCAGTACCGTTGGGTGGACATGCAGAGTCTTTTTGTTGCTCACTGGGTTTTGGACTGTTTGCACTTTATAAAAAAGACATCTTTCAGCTGAACATCAGCTGCAGTTCTTGGCCTGAATTTGGAATTTCTAGTAAACTGACAATGAAATAATTCATGAATTAACCCCCATTAAGAAGCGTGTTGGCAGGAACTTCCCTGCATCCACATGAGTTGCAGCTCTGTGTAGCTGCATGGGCAGCACCAGCACTGCCATGGCAGCCCCTGCCCAGGTCCTTCCCCAGCACAAGAACACTCTTCATCTCCTGCCTCTGAATGTGATGGGATTTCAGCAGTGACTAGTTCTGTGACAGCCTGAACAGGAAAATGCTTGCAGTGCCCCCATGCTGGAAATGCTAAATGTGGTACTCACTATTTTAAAAGCCTGGGAATATGTAGTTTAAAAAAGAAAAAAAATTGTCTTTCAAAATCAACTCCTGGGAGAATTATCAAAATGTAATTTCTTCCCTTTCACTTTTTAAGAAGTAATTCCCAATTTTTTCTTACTTTCCTTTCTGCCCTGCCAGGTAATTGTTTCTTTTTTTTCATCCTAAATAGAAAATAGGAAAGATGAACCAAGCAAAAGAAGAATTACCAAGAAAAGAATCACTAAGATAAAATGAGTCCATTTCATACTCTGTAAAATAAAAACAACTTCAACAGTTTAAAATTTTATGTGCACCTGTGTTTTCATATTTTTCATCTGAGTCCAGTACAGACAAGTTGCTGCTGCTGAAGCTCAGTTGTTAAATCAGGGTGATCATTTTTATTTTTACGAACAGTGGCCAGAAATCAGTGAGAAGTCTGTTTTTAACAGTTTTTCTCCAGTGCTATGACCTTGATTCTTCTCTCCTTAAGCTGAACAGAAAAATCCTCCTCAATTTAGTGATGAAGATTCAGACCTAAATAGCTCCAGTGCCAAATGTATCCCAGAGGAAAATTATATGGCCTCATTTAATAGAGAAAAAGCAAGAAGTCAGGCCAGCAGCTAGAACTTGGCACTTTTCTGCAGTCATTTTAGGATAAAAAGCAGAGAGTAAGTAGTCTTTAAATATTTGATTCACACTATCAGGCTATTGTAATATACATTACTGATATGATCTGCACTTATTAAAATTGGGGTTTGTGAATAGCCCTTCACATAACAGCTCTGCTTCAGGCCATCACACAACCAGGCCTGTGTATCATCAGCTCTGGTATTTTCCCTTTCACACCTACATGGGCATTTTTTTTTAGCCTATTTCTAGGCTTTGCTTTCAGTCTCATAAGCAGCACAGCAACGCAGGCAGAAAGCACCCACTGCCTCCTCGCTGAGGAATGCACGTGAGCACCTGCTTTGCTCCATTCAGTGGTTGCATGCAGGGAGTGGGAAGGCACAAAACACCTCTGATAATGCCTGGAGTAACCTCCTTTGGCTTGTTTTCTATTCCCCTCACCATAGCACACAGCTTCTGCCCACGCTCCCCCTTGGAGCCCCCATTCCCACCTCTCCCTCCCCCACACTGCCTTGACTCAGCAGTGCTGGGTTGGTGGTTGGGACTCAGTTTCAGAGGTCTTTTCCTACCTTAATCATTCGATGACAGCCCTATTCCCGTGCCACCCCCTGACTCAGACTGTGAAACATAACCCAGAAGTACACAGGGGACAGTAAGAGCACAGTGCTGCTCAGTAATTCAGCACCTTTTCAGACAAAAAATATACCCTCAACTCTACTTGAATTCAGCAGCTGAGAGCTCCAAGCCAGCCAAAGGATGCTGAACACAACTGAGATGGGATTTTACTCTCTGAACATGGGTCTTGCATTCTGCTTTGCCAGACTGGGGAGACAAGAAAATCAACAAAGATAAGACAAAAAACAAACAAAGCCCTTTTATATATTTTACATATTTATACAGCATTTAATGTTCTTTAAGGAACAAATCAAACAGGTCCCAGAGCTAAAATAAGCAATGTTAAAGCTGCCACTGGTTCTGGAGAGGACCATGTTTACTGTAATACCCACTCAAAAACATAACCTGCCTTTGCAAACCTGGGTGATGAGAAACTTCTCATTGCTTTCCAGTATCACCCAATTTAGGAATAATAAATGATTGGGAAGTGTGACAGTGTGTGAATGTGTGTGTGAATGTGTGTGTGTGTGTGTGTGTGTGTGTGTCTCCTACAGGAAGAAACACATTTCTAAATAACGTGTTAGTTTTGTGTCAGTTGTAACAACTCCCAAAAGCATTTGGGTATTACAGTATTACGATCTCAAAAGAGTTTTTGCAGCACAATAATCCTGAACGATAATAACTAAATTTGAAAATAACCGTTATCTGCTAGAAAGGCATTAAAACATCTATAGTGGAACCATCAGGCTGTAAACGCTGTGGAAGCTACACACACAGACACACACGTGATTAACACAGAAAAAAAGAAAGGAGAAAAGCACTTCCAAGAAAACCCACAACCTACCACCTACACGATGAACTTTTAAGCACAGAGTGCAACGTCCAATGAATTATTTATGAATTAATTTCCAATGAACAGTTTAGCAGTCAAAGGAAACACAAACAGGCAGCGCAGCCCTGCCTGGGGTGATGGCAGGGGACACAGGAGTGCTTTTCCTGTGGCAAGAAGACATTTAGCAGTGTGCATGATGAGTTGCACACTAATAAAGTTTGAGACAAGAATTCAATTGCTCGCAAGCGCCAAACTGGTGCACTAATGTCCCAGCACAGCCTGTGACCCCACTTGCACACTGCAGTGGCACATGCCATCGCTCAGGCAGTGCTGGGTCACGGGCAATTTGTCCCTACCACACTGGTTTCCTGCTAACCTAAAATACAAGTGCAGTCAGCTGCTGCTTAAGGCTAATGATGGAACAACGAAATCAGGATATAAAGGCCACATCCTGCTTTTAAATTAATTTTTTATAGCCAGGCTGTAAAACGGGCTGTCCCTGCCTAGTGCTGGAATGGGCTCTGCACTGAGGGCTCCACACCAGCAGTGGCCTTTAGAGTGGCATTAAATTAATGCCTTTGTGGGTCTTTTTTCTTCTCCTGTGCTGAGATCCCTCATTTGTCTGCGGCTGCAGCCAAGCCGCAGTCCTGCTGCTGGGCATGTGCTGTGTGCCAGGTTCTTAGGCTAACACACTGCTGTGCACCTTCTCTCTGTAACACAAACATGGATCATTGGCACAAACAAACGTGGGTGGATTCCTGAATTGCATTCAGTTGCTCCTGAGGCAGGGGAGGTGTTGGAGCTAATAGGAGAACAGAAGTAGGAGAGGCTTGGGACAATCCAAAAGCAGAGTAGACAGGTTAGCCTGTTCTGAGCTTGCTGCAGCTCCTGTGGCATTGCCAGGCACAAGCTGTGCTGGGTCACAGTTACTTGTGCAAATAGAGCAGCAGGCACTTCTCAGCACAGCTCCTGGCTGCTGCAGTTTGAAGAGCTTAAAAAGCTTTTTTTTTTTTTTTTTTTTCAATAATTTCCAAAGCCACACCAGAGTCCTGCCTGGTTCCAGGAGAGGGGCTGAGATTGCTGCTCTCCTTAAAGCATGTCCTGTTGAGCATGGTTTAGCTCTCTTCCTACACTGACTTTGATAATAGTCACTTTTCTAAGTTACATGAATCTCAGGGTAGCTTAACCCGAGGGCTGTGCCCCCTTCCAGAAGCACAGTGTGGCAGTGCACAGTCCTGCCAGCCAGGTGGGGAATGGGGCTTTTTTGGCATTGCCATGACAGAAACCCTGTGTCCAGGCAGCCAGTTTTTCTGTGGGAAGAGCAGCATCACATTCCCTGGTAAGTCTGACTCACACTTGTGTAGGCTCTGCCTGATCAGGTGAAGGGGTGATATCTCAAGTGAGAAGCTGCCCTTTGCCCTGTCTTCCACCAGCAGGACTGAAGACAAAAGCAAAAAGATGCTATGAGAGTTTAAAGAAGTTGACATCATCTGAGCTTAGGAACCA